TAATCATATTATTCTATAAGTCAAAACATGCAAAATGAAACAATAGTAAACAATTGACACAAGATAGTAACTTTAGTCATAAATAAAACTCCTTTATTTAATCATTAAATTTCAATTACATTTTATCTATTACAAGTTTCTAAAAGCTATATAATCACTAAAACTAATATCATCCTTCATCGCAATTCTCCTAACATGCTGCAAGTGCTTAACCCTGCTCAGTCCCTTCGTAAAGGGATCTTGTGGGTTCTCCTTTGATGATATCCGCTTTACTACGAGAAGTCCATGTTCTACTCAATGTCTGATGATGTAATATTTTCTGTCGATCTGCCTGGATCTACCATGATCCATCGGTTCCTTGGTTATGGCAACCGCACCCTCATTGTCATAGAAAATTTCCATAGGCTCCATTATGGCCAGTAAAAATCCAAGGTCTCCAATGAAGTTCTTTATCCATATTGCCTACTTCAATGCTTCACTCACTGCTATGTATTCTGATTCGCACGTTGAATCAACTACGGTCTACTGCTTGGAACTTTTTCAAGTCACTGCTCCTCCATTCAGGGTAAATATCCAGCCCGACTAAGAGCGGAAATTATATCGTTCAGTCTGAAAACTGGCGTCACTATACCCTCGTACTCTCAATTCATCACTCCAACCGACGATAAGAACCCAATTTGTAGTCCTCTGTAGGTACTTAAGAATGTTCTTTACCGCTGTCCAATGAGGTCTACCAGGGTTCCCTTAATATCTGTTGACCATGCTCAAAGGGAAGGCCACATCAGGGAGAGTACACGTCATAACATACATGATCGAGCCAACAACGAAAGCATAAGGCACTCGACTCATTTACGCTATCTCAGCTTCGGTACTCGGACTTTGAGTCTGTAACAACCCGAAGTTTTCTATCGTCGAAAACTTGTTCTACCCGTGAAATTTCGCCGTTAGTCAATTCGTTTCGTTCTTGTTTTGGGTTAAACTAATTAAAACTTATATGTTTATTATAATTTAATGAGTGTCCAAATCTCTTAGGAACTCATGAAATTAACCCAAAAGTATTCATTTCAAAAAGTTAGAAACACTCCCGCCGGGTGACGGTAACTTAATCGGGTGCGACCAAAAGCCCCGTTTAATGCCGGTATCGGGTAGAATTCCACCGTGTCCAAGTTTTAGGACCTATATAAACGTGTTTGAGCACTCATTTGAATCTTTTTCTTCCTCTCTCTACTCTCTCTCTAACCTCTCTCCTAAATCCAAAGTTTAAGGGTCTAAAACTCAATTTTAAGGCCTCAAATCCCTAAGGTACCTTCCTAACCTTAATGTATAGCATATTTGGCTTCCAAATTAGGGGTTTAATCATGAAATAAGGCCTTGTATATGAGTTTACGGCCCAGAAACATGCTTAGGCCGTAAACTCATAATAAGTGGGTTTTTAAGCCCTAAAACCCCTCCTATGCAATTTTGGACTTTAGATATGGCTTAATGACTTCATGGAAAGGACTTATAACATTTAAAACATGGATTTTGAGGCATTTGAAGGAGTTTACGGCCAAGGCACATGCTTGGGCTGTAAACTCATGTATAAGGGGTTTTCATGACCTTAAACCCTTCCAAATCACTAATATGGCTTAGATATGAATTATAGAATATTGGTATTAGCATTTGGACACTTGAAACATAATTCTTTGAGGGATTATTGTGAGTTTACGGCCAAGGCTTGTGCTTGGGCCGTAAACTCCATGAAACATGGTGCAAATTCATTTCTAAGGTGTTAGAAAGCCATCCAACACCACCAAAAGCCTTGGAATAAATCATAGGACCAACCAAAAATAATTTAAGGTCCTTAAACACATCAAAACCTTTTCATTTAAGAGTTTACAGCCATAGCATGTGTTCCATGGCCGTAAACTCCAAAAAGTGTGTCATAATGTGTCCCAAACTCATTTCAAGGATTTAAGGGAATTTTAGAAGCCCTTACATGCAAGTTTTTAGCCTTAAAACATATGGATTTACTCTCTAAGAGAGTTTACGGCCATGAGAGGGGTCTCATTGGCCGTAAACTCCAAAAATCCCTTCAAAACTCCAAGTAAATGCATGTAAGGCCTTGAAACAATTTTAGCAATCACATGTGATTAGTTTGGAATCCAAAAACACAACTTTTCATGGGTTTATAGGAGTTTACGGCCATGAGACCATGCTAGGCCGTAAACTCCCTAAAATGTATCATTTTGGTGTTTTAAATTTATTCCAAACCCTTAAACCAAATCTTGAAATTGTCCTCTAAGTGTTTGAAGTCCAAATTGCACCATAAACCACCCACCATGAGTTTACGGCCGTAAACTCATGGGGAATGAGTGTTTAGGCCGTATACACCATTTAGAAGTTTACTCTTGGGGAGTAAACTCATTTCCTAAGTCCCTCGCATCATTACACGTCCTTAAACGCCACCCGGGTCCCTCCAAACACTTGTATCGGAGTGTTTTCGTGACTAGAAGTGTTTGTCCCTAACAATTAAACAATCTAAGTCCTAATTAGATAAAAATGTGTATCTTTACATTATAATTAGGAACCTCGTGCTTTTGCAATCCCCGGACCAACGTTTAGCATCCGAAATCGCCACATTTCTCGTTCGGTGAGTTTATACCCCTACCCTTTTTCAACTATTTTCACTGTTTTCAGAGGGGGGGGGGGGGAATACAAGCAAAAGTACAAGGAAATCTTGTACTATGTTCTAATATCAATAACTGTGTTCATCAAATAGTTCGAATTACGAATTTAGCTTTCAAACTAATCATAAATTTCTTGATAAAATGTTCTAATCTAAACTATGTTTCATAATCCACGAATAATTTATACTAATTTCCAATTATAACTAATTACGAATACGAATACGAAGACGAAACTATAACTAGGAATAGAACGAATACGAAGCTATAACTAGGAATAGAACGAAAACGAAACTACAACTAGAAACAGAACGAATAACACATCTATAACTAGGAACAGAATGGATAGCGAAACTATAATTAGGAACAGAACGAATACGAATACGACTGCGAATACGAATACGACTGCGAATAGTAATAGGAGTAGGAATAGGGAAACGAATACGACTGCGAATACGAATACGACTGCGAATACGAATACAAATATGAATAGTAATAGGAGTAGGAATAGGGAAACGAATACAATAACGAAAACGGATACGAACACGAATAAGTACAAGAATATGTTTAAGAATAAGAACACGAATATGAAGATATGTATCTAAGTATATTCCGAGATAATACCATTAGGATATCAGAATACCTAGTTAATATAATAGGTACGAAAGGAAATAAATCAGTATATCTAAATTCAATAACTAAAATTACTTTTAGGAATGCACGGGACTTTCCTAGGGAAACGTTACACAACTAAAAAGTAGTAATAAACCAGATAACTATATATCTTTCACAATTAGTAATATACCTTCAGGAAAGTATGAGACTTTCCTGGGATCATAGTTAAACATAACCAAAATCGTGTAACCTAACAATCAACCAACCTTCTCTCTTAAGAAAATATGGGATTTTCTTGGATAACAATCTTTCGGTAAACTAAAGGAATCTTTTACATTTTCACAAAGCAAACATCTTATGAACTCACCAGCTTTATGCTGATTTTCAAACTGCTTGTATTCTTAGGTCAACATTAGACAGGTACCTAGCGAATCTTTTGGAGAAGACGGAGCGTACAGAAGACTCGTCTCTACTTTTGTTCATATGATATATGTATAACACTTGTAACACTTTACTTTTGAACAAATGTAAATTCGAATATGTAATGTAATGGTTGTTTACTTTGCTTACTATGTACATTGGATTTGATACTCAACTTGGAGTCAACCCCAGAAACGTTTCCGCCTTTGGTTTTTGGGGTGTGACAGATTGGTATCAGAGCCCTTGTTTATAGTGAATGGAGTATACCAAACCTTACACGGTATAAAACTATAAACATAAAAGTGCCTCAGTGCTCTAAATTAAAAGTATCTTCAAAAACTATAAGTATTTTCAAAAGTATACAAGTATACCGAACCGTTGAAATCCGTAACTACAAGTAGAACAAAACATAAGTAAATGGGTGTTGTACACTGTGGTTAAACCTGGGCAGTTATGTAGTCGTGTCTAGTATCAATATAGCCTGGCCAACTATATTCATTCGAGACACGGCTAACATGTGCTTGGGAGTGACTGTGATGTACGACATGCCTAAAACTTACCCAATACCCAAATAATGAGCCGTCGCTGCAGCGAATCATGAAATACTATGGGAGTATTTCTCGAGCCAAATCCGTTATAAAATTTCTCATCCCAGCGTTGCTCCTTAATCATTCCTTTAGCGATAATTTATCTGTTTGATAACTCCTTCTTGCTTTATCGCTTGATAGAATTCTATGTATGCCATAAAGAGATATCCTTTGTATCATATCTCTTGATTCAATTTAGAGGGCTTATCATCCTCTCTTCCTGATCTTATTAGATCAAGATGCCTCCAAGAAAGAGACCCAGCTCGCAGAACAACAACAACCCTCCTCAAACACCACCTTCTCTTCAAATCAACCTGGCAACCCTTCAGTCAGTTTTAACTGCAGCATTTTCAGCAGCCATGTCGCAAACGAACCCCGGTAGTTCGGGAGGTGGTCCCCAACCTCAAAACCAGGAAAATAGCCAAGGACACCAAAAGGAGTGTTCCTATAAAGACTTTATGCATGCGAAACCTACATTCTTCGATGGCACAGGAGGTGTCATTGCTCTAACTCGATGGTTAGAAAGGATCGAATCTATCTTCGAGATCTGTGCTTGTTCAGAATCCGACAAGGTGAAGTTTACCGCTTGCACTCTCACCAACAAAGCCCTGACTTGGTGGAACAGCCTAGTCAAATCTCTAACTCTACCTGTAGCCAATGCTATGGGTTGGGAAGTTATGAAGGAACACCTTCTTGTTTCTACTTCTTATGGTTAGGCTTCTAGTTCCACATGATACCTGTTTTCATCATCAACACATTAGTAGTAACATATGTTTTTTCAAGAATCCAAGCTTCAATATAGCCCATACCTGTACAAAATAAAATACAATAAATAAGTACCTCTAAAGATGAGGTATACATGTATACACAAGAATGATTCAAGAGATGGTATACATGTCGAGTTGATTTTATTTCGAACTTTGGTTCCATTTGCTAAAGGATGAGGTCTTGGAGGAAAGACAGATTTATGTCTAAAAGTTGTGAATAATCTGAAGTTACACCTGTGAGGGACTTTGATGACTTATTGACTTTCCCCTTTATTCATTAAGTCCTAACTATTTACAAATTTACCCTCGTTTGTTTTTTCCTTCATTTTCTCAAATAACCTTTAAACATAATTTATCCATATTCCAGAAATTGACGAGTAGAAAGTACTTAGAAACTAACCATAACATACTTGATGCCTTCTTTCTTCCAATCATTCATACAATAATAATGAGAGGTATTTGTAAGATCAATTACTAACCCCAACTGAAAAAAATCAATAAAAATCATATAAGAATAGCTTCCCACAATTAGTCCAATCATACACAATACATAACAAGGCATTATAGAAATAAATAGAAAAACATTTAAAGGCAAAGTGATAACATATACTCACCTTCCTCCCCAAAACCCTTTGTTGGTGAATGACTTGTCTAAAGGAGTATCTTTTACCAAGGACAATACAGACATTAAAAGACTGACCAAGAGGAACTTTAGAAGGAACAATACAACCTATTTCATGACCATATGCAGGACAATCCAACCATCCTACAATATGAAAAGTAAACAATCTGATAATATATTATATATCAACGATGAATGGGATTTTTCCCTACCAAACCATGGAAACAACTGGCTAGAGATGATGTACTCAACGAGTGAATTGAAGAAAGGCTTTGAGGACAAATCAACATAATGCTTCTTAGCAAAAGCTTGGTTAAAAGTCAAGAATTTCAAACATGAATAATAAAATAACAAAAGAGACATGTTACTTTTATACATAATATCTTTGATTATTAGAAAATGCGGGGTGTGTGACAAAATTAAAATAAGTTTGGGTGGGATAACTTGTTAGTTGAAATAGATCAAGATCGTTAATTTTCATTTTATAGCAATTTTTATGAACAGGTAGTGAATCTTAAATAAGATAAGCGACCTCGCCAATTTAAATTCTTGATTTCGCATTGAATTAAACCCATTTCGACCTGGTAAATAAATAACCATAAAAAACCTTAAATCAGATAAATAGTTATTAACAAATCTTGAATGCTAAAGGATAAAAGGGTTTATACTGATGTCATAATTACCTTCAGGTCATCAACATTGATTGATGCAATTTCAAGGGACTCATTATGAACATCTATGCCAATGACATGTCTATTAAACAACAATTTAGAGTCAAACTACAGATACATAAAACACATTCAAATAAAAGATTAAACAAAATCTGATTGAAAAAATAAGCCACAAAGAAGAAACTTAAAAAATCTCACTCTGCATCCAGGAGAGTGGTAGCAAGACATAATGTGCCACACCCACATCCAAAGTCAACTTCTATTTTGTTACTCACATCCCCATATGAATTCTCTGCCTACATCAGTAAAATTGGAAAAATCAAAGAAATGATAACATTTATAGGGATTTTATATCTACAAGCTTCCATTGCCACTGTTACATATAATAACCAAACTAACAAAAACAACTCACTGAACATATTTTGACTCATGATATCAATTGAGTTATCAAACTATCCTAATCAAAGCAATTTTATTCAAAGGTGGATGTAGTGAGTTGATCCGTTCCCCCCCCCCCACCCAAAAAAAATAACGCAATTCATCTAAAAATCGAAGTTGAATATGAATAATGATCTTCAATTCCAATTCTAGACCTAGAATACCAACTCAACACAAACATACAAGAACAATCAGAAAATAGAAGAGAAGGGAGACAGAGGAGCTACTGTGTATACCATACGAGAAGCAATGTGAGCTCTAGTTGGATATTCTTCATAGATAAAACAAACACTTGTTCATGTGTAAATCTAAAATTAGCCTTTTTTTTTCCAATTCAACAACAAAAAAAGCTCATGAAGAACAATCAGATTACAGATACCTGCAAGCTATCTTCAACCACCTCTGCACTGTGCTGCAATTTAACTCAACATACAAAATTATTATTTTGTTTCTAAATAACTAGAAAAAAATATATATTTATAATTTATTACCTTCCATTGAAGAGAACATCAAACCAACATGCTAAACCATGTATCCTTGTACCCACATAAGCAGTGAATTTTAATGGATTGTCAATTTCATACAAATCCACTTCCTGTAAATGGAATTAACAAAAATAAAATCCAGAATTCGCATTCATTTAGTGAAAAGAATGAATTAAACATAAATGATATTATAGATTAAACAAAAATTAAAAGCATTTACGAGTAATAAAAGAAATATGGAATCACACTAAAAGATATTTCACATGCTCAGCGACACAATGATGCACCATTCCAAAACTAGCAAACAAGAAAAATAAGATTCATATTCAAGATTTAATAAAAAAATCTGGTGTGAAAAGTTACCTCAACAAACTTCAATTGATAATCAAGATTTCCAAACAATCTCTGATCCGGAAAATAACAACTAATAGTACATAATTTTTCAATATCAAAGTTACTCAAAACAATGTAATCAAGACCTCCCTGCATATCCTCCATTAACAATGGTTTCTCCTTCACCAAATAATTTGTTTACACAACTACACATGCTTTATTAAGGCAGCAGTATTAAGGACCAAAGTGTTTGAAAAATAAAAAATGTTAAAGTTAAGTTAACTAACCATCTTCTCTTGTTTCTTGAAGTAGTCCAGAAGCATGTCTTCTTATAATGTCAAGCTAAGACACCACCTCATGATCTTCAACATGAAAGAACACAACAGATCCATATTGGAACACAATATACAGCTATGGGAGCTAGGGTTTTCTTCAACATCAATGTCTTGTAGTAACTTTTTTTTTCTAAATTAGACTTTATAGGAGGAAAATTTGAATTGAAATTGGAAAATCTGAAACCATATGATCTGAACTAAAATTGAAATTGGAAAATCTGACCACAAAGAGAAATGTCTACAGCTTTGGGGTTCTTTTACTAGAAATAATAAGTGGTTGCAGACCAGCTTCTTAGGTAGTTGACTCGGTAGGTTGGCAAAGTATTTTCGAGTGGGTTCAGAAGGTCGTTTGATCACGTGATTTCTGCATCTTCTTTTACTTCACCTTCTAAAATAACGGAAGCTAGTGTGGTTTAGAAGGTCGTTTGTCTTTTTTTAGTTCTAGAATGAAAAAGTATGACAAAACCCAACCCATATGATCTGAACTGAAATTGGAAAATCTGAGAGCGATATGGTTTGTTGAGCGTGAAGTAGGAGGAAGAAAATGAGAAAGTATTAGGGAAACAAGAGTGAAACCTCAAGGTTGTTAGCAAGGCAAGGTGAGGTGAGGTACTGCGATCATCGATTGTTGCAGAGGCCAAGGAGATGTGAGAGTGTTTTCATTCTTGAAAAAAACCCTCCTGCGTTTTCGTTCATGAAAAAAACTCTCCTGCGTTTTCGTTCTTGAAAAAAACCCTCCTAGTTCTTCTTTGATACCGGGGACAAGAATAACCTTACAATTGCCGGCGTTGCGAGTTTAAGGAGTCGTAGACCACCAATCACCGACTCCATGAAAGATATTGTAAGGTTCGATTTTTGGGGAAGGCGGGGTACTTGAATTTTTGGGGATTTGATTTCCGATGTTAGTTGCATGAAAATGGGATGCGCGTATTAATTTTTTTTAAAATGACATCTTTACACGACACCCACTAAATTTAGGTGACTTCCCTGTTTTTAATTTTTGTGTTGGACATTAATTTTAGGGCATGCACAAATTCATGTCCTCTATCCTTCAAATTTTGGTAAACCGACATTATTTTTTAGGGCACGCACACATGCGTGTCCTCTATCACCGCGTGTCATTGTTTCCGCGTCATTAAAGGGTTGTTTTCTAGTAGTGAATGAAACCCAAAATCTTTGGATCTAGGTTTTCTCTAATTATACAGGCAATAATCATCCAAAGCTATAAACCCTAATCTAGCATGCATAAATCGAAATTTATATCTAAAAAAGTTAGAATCTTACCTTTCAATTGTAGCTAGCTTGATCTTCAACCCTTGAGAACTTAGCACCTCAAATGTGATGCCTTTAATAAATCACAAACACCGCAATCAATGGAAGAATATTAGAGAGAGAGAGAGGGGGGGGGGGAGAGGCACAAAATCAGCTAATGATCCTTCTAGGGTTTCAATTGGCCGATTTTAAGAGTGCCATAGGGTCCTTATATACCTGAGCTGTTAGGTTTTCAGTCAAGACCCTAATCCAGTTACTTTGTCCTTAAGCAGCCCATAGGATCAATCCAGAGGCCCCTTGGACGAATCCTATGTGGAATCCCACATATATTTCGTCCATCCCTTCCTTATGGACCCTAAGCTTGTAACAACCTGAAAAACTTTTGCTTGATAAGTCCATCCAATTGAGAGTCAGACTCGTTTTTGCTATCTTTTAAGCATTGTTAAGGATCATTTTATGAATTCTAAGCCTAGTACACTTAAGGATTGGGTTTGGGGATGAGTTAATTTAAGTTATTCAAGTTGTATTTGAGCTGGAAAACCCAACACATGGAGTTTACGACCGTAAACTCTCTCCTGGCCATAAACTCCTCATATATAAAGGAGTTTTGCCACCATTATTCACTTTTCCACCTCTTGGCCGCACACCACTCCATTCTCTATCAACCATCTTCAACTGTGAACCCTCCAAAGCTCTGAAAACGTAAGGACTTCATCCTTAAACTCGTTCTACTTATAAGACCTCTTGATTCAAGCCTTGATTCATCATGTTTCAACATGATCTTCATCATCTTGAAGGGTGTACATATGTACACCTTCATAGGTTGGCCGTACACACCTTAAAATCCCTCCAAAGTGAGATTTGGTCCCTATCATCTAGTTAGACATGTGTAGCCTTTAAACAACATCTAACCACATAAAATTCAAGAGTTTACGACCGTAAACTCTTGTTATGGCCGTAAATCCTTGCTTTGGACATATCTGGAGTCTGAAACACTTTTAGATGCTTGATATACATTAAGAACTCTTGAACCCCTCTCATATAAGACCCCAATACCACCATTGGAAGTGTTTACGGCCATACACTCTTGGTGTGGCCGTGAATACCTCAAAACCTTCCAAAATGATGGCTTTGCTCGTCCCCTAGTTGTGTAATGATGACCTTATCTTCCCTATGAATCAAACACCCTCCTTTTCATGACTTTCCATGAGTTTACGGCCTTACACTCATGGTGTGGCCGTAAACTCAAAATGTGGCCGTATACACACTTCTTTTGGCCGTGAACCCTCTTTCATATAATCACATGTGATTCAACACTTCATTTCAAGTGTTTCCTAGTCCCTAAGGTTGTTTCCTTGCATATTAATTATTTAAAACGCTAAATTCATGCCAATATATGTTGTTATATGTCATTAGGACTCGTTTGTGTCTCAGGAGTTCATTCATGGAAATTCTCATCCGTACATGCATCTGCAACTGAATCACCCACATAAGGTGAGTTCATACCCCTATAATCAATCTTTTAAACTGTTTTAAATGCTTTTAAGGGGGGATACAAGTTGGACATAATGTTAATTGTGTATATGTTTTGTTATAAACATCTTTTAAAGGGTTTCTTATGTATTTATAAGTGATCAAAACATTTTAAGAACTTTTTTAAAGTTATGTTACTTTATAGTTTGCAAAAATCTATTTTCATAGTGCAATTATAACTAAGTAGATAAATGAATCTTCATCAAAATTAGTAAGAATTCAAACAAACATACTAGTAAACTATAATAGGTATTGTTTAGCGGTTAAAACATACTATAATGAGAAATAGGGACGAACATACTACACACTAGAACATAAGGAACATACTAAAACAAGAACAAGATAACATTTATGTGAGACTACTTCACGACTTAGCAAATTACATTGCTTGGTTGCGTTTTGTAACCAGAGCCTCCTGGAGGGAGAGCATGAGTATGTGTATAGATCTATATGGGATTGACACCCTGCACCTTGCTGTTAGCTACAATAGGACTTCACGTCCAAGGGTGACAAATATCACATTTCACATTGACGCCTTAGGTCGTCAGGTTTATCACGTGTCGTATCAGTATGATTACAACCACATTACATCTTAACCTTAATTAACAAACTAGTTTTAAGGTAGTCAGTACTTCAGTAGTCACTTTAAAATAATACTGTATACTTTCATTATTACAAAAGACAAACATAAATTCGAGTCATAGTACATTAAGTAGAAAAGGGCCTATAATGCTAACTTTATGATTCCTTAGTTTATACATCAGGAATATATATTAAATCGGATCCGACAGGTAGTAGGATGTGTTCTTTCCGCTCAATTTCATGTTCCTTGTTTGGTTGTGGGCTTAGAGTAGATTCACCCAACCTACTAACTACCCTATCTTAGTTATGTATATATTATGTATAATCTAAGTAATCATGAGGAGTACCAGGTATGGGCCAGGTCATAGTATACAAATTCAATACACTGTTTTCTAATACAAAACATACTTTTCAAATAGAACATTTGGTAGACAAAACTAGAAACTTACCAATAATGGGTTTAATCCATTTTATTAAACCAATATAACTTAAAGGACCTTAGGTGGTTAATTATATAATACATTGGCTTATACATCAGGGTTATATATAATTAATACCCGATAAGTAGTTGGATGTATGCTTTCCGCCGTACTTCCTGTTCCTTGTTTGGTTGTGGGCTTAGGGCGGATTTACACAACTAACTATCTACTTGATATTAGATTATATATAGCTAGTATAAACCAAGTGATTATAAAAGGAACCATTATGGTTACCATTTTTACTAAAAGAAATAAGGGTTTTCTTAAATAACGTTCTCATCATATATAAAGGAACTATTGTAGTTAACTCCATGAGTACCAAGTGAATACGCCAGGGTTATATACAACGATGATCTAACAAAATAATGGGAGGTGTGCCTTCCGCCTCATTCCCTATTGCTTGTTTGGTTGAGGGCTTAGGGCAGATACACACAATTGATTGTTTGTTTACTCTGGGTTTTTATATAACTTGTATCCATTTAGTACTCATAGAAAGGATTGTAGAGTCATTTTTACTTATCTTTCATCAGAGCAGGAAATATAGGATTTTCTGGAGGAACATGCGAACTTTTCTAAGAAGAACTTACAATTTACTTACATCACTAAAATCTTATGAACTCACCAGCTTAAATACTGATCAACTCTTTCAAAATAACTTGTATTTTCAGGAAACTAGTAGATAGGTACGCGTTCTAGAATTCAGAAGGTGGTGCATAATAGCTTCAAGTCTTGTTTTGTTATTTCCATATATAGTTTATGCTTTGTGAACAACATACTTTGTAAACACTTTCTTTCTAATGAAATAGTTGTTTATTACTTTGATTACTATGATGCATGTATTGTGAGACTAAACATGACGTCCTCCACCCCCGAACGCTTCCGCCGTTCCGGTTTGGGGGTGTGACACATACCGGTGGTAGCCATGGTTTTCAAACAAAACATACACTACATACTGGTGGTAGCCAGAGTTTTCAAACAGAACATACACTTCATACTGGTGGTAGCCAGGGTTTTCAAACAGAACATACACTACATATTGGTGGTAGCCAGGGTTTTCAAACAGATCATACTTTACCTACAACAACAAACAAACATGTTAGAAAATATTAGATTTTCTTGTGA